ACCGAATGTGTTCTCCGACTTTTCTATTTTTTTACTCGACATTTTTCATTTATTAGAACATTATCTCAGTGATAATTTATTTAAAAAAACCTATTAATTTTTGTATTTACATACAAGAATTAATACAAAGCTTTTTCATAAAACTATGTTTATCATGTATAAAACTATTAATTAGTTAGGTGATTAAAATGAAGATATTAAAAACTAAGTTTTCCATAATAAAACCCAATCACAACTAATTAATTCCGTCTTATAGTATAAAATATATCTTTATTATTTAAATAAATACTTCGATGTGTGAATTAAATTGTTTTGAAATGATTGTATCTAATTGTATATAATATTTTTTTTCTTCAGAACAGTACATATTAATTATTACTAATAATAACAAAATTACAAATGCAAGATAATTTCATATTTGAATTACAGACATTGTACAAAGGTTTCGACCATGACCATGTTTTCGACTAATAATTAATGATTTCTATATCATTGTAATTATTAAATATAAAAATTTTATTAGGAACATTTTTTTTAAATAAATTAGAAAATTTGTTCAATATTTTTTTGGTAATTAACCTTAGGAAGTCACTCGTTTTTGTTGAATTTTTTTTGCTGGAAAGGGAAAACTAGATATTTTCTATCCAGATCTTTTTGTAAACAAAAAAACAAAATGTATAACAATAAATTCAAGCATTCATTTTGAACCATTCACTACATCAAACGCGATTGCAATCACTACATGATTTGCTTTGAGAATGTCGCAACAAGTAGTTGTTTTTTTGTTTGCCGTCGTGACAATATTCAGATTTTTCCTCTAATGGTTTTGATGTACTTGTTTTTCTAGACGTTCCATGGTAATGTCAAAACCCATATATTTTATTAATTATGTTTGCTCTGTTTGAGAAATTCTTGTTTGTATCAAAATGTTTAAAATGTAAAACGATGGTAATTGAAAACAAAGGATATGTATAAAAGTCATCCAAATTTGTTGATCTCATCCTGATAATTTTCTACATAACCTTTGTCCTTTGAAACATTGTCACTATCACAACTTAATGACTCCTCCATTTCTTATTTTTCCATTTTGTTTTTTTATTTTTTTTTATTTTTTATTTACAACAAAGGTGAAACTCTATTTTTTAACAATAAAAAGTTAAAAACAATAAAATTAAATTAAATTAAATTAAATTAAATTAAATTAAATTAAATTAAATTAAATTAAATTAAATTACAGTTAGTTTCAAATTAATTTAAAAATGTTCAACAAATAAATATGATTGTACCAAATAAAATAAAAATATTATCAAAATAAATTTAAAGTGTTTCACAAAAAACAAAAATGTACCTTTTTTTCAAATGTCTCATAATTAATTATTATTGTTTCAAATAAAATTCTTTTTGTACAAATTTAAATTAAAATTGTTTCAAAATTGAGCTTTTTTGTTTCAAATAAAATTAACAAAAATAATAAACATTTAGCTTTAAATCGTTTCTTTTCATCACTTTTTCGGCTATTTCGTTGAAAAAATTACCAATAACTTTTCTGACATCAAACTTTTCGATACTTTCAAAACAATCTCCAATATTTTTTAACAGTTCTTTTAAATCATTGTTCTCGAGTTTACCAACTCTAGTTTTCCATATACCAAATATGTTTTCAATCGGATTGCACTCTGGAGAATATGGAGCATTAAAAAGAACTCTGCAACCTCTATTTTCTGCAAGCTTGATGATTTCTTTTTGATGTACGGCAGCGTTATCCAATACAAAAACGACATTTCCAAGCAAACAGATATAATGTTCAACAAGCAATTTAAATCCAGCAGAAAATATTTCTCCATCAACGACTTGGTTAAACACCCTGCAAAATTTGTCTCCACTTTCTGCAATCGAACATATACAACTAATATTGAATGTCGACAGGGGAGAAATTCTAAAATGTTTTTGCCCTTTTAAACCCCAATGTTTTGTTCTTACATTACCCAATTTCCAATGAGATTCATCAACAAACACTACAGCAAATCCGGCTTTTTGACAACTTTTCAACTCTAACAATCTGTTGACACATAGTTCTTTATTTTCTAATGTGTTGGCAACTTTTCCTCGTATTGACACTTTTGTAAATGACAGAGGATCTAGTTTGAGATTTTTCGTCAATTTTTCATTGGTTATGTACCTGTCTAATGAAGATACAGAAATATCGTAATTTTTTTCTGCTAAGGCCTTTTTGGCTTGCCTCAGAGACATATTTTGTTGACAAAGTAGCGAAGTTACCTCTTTCAACATGTCGTCTGTATATTTTGGTTTTCTTCCTTTCTTCTTCTTTGTTATATCGCTTCCATCTTTCAATTTTTTAATATAAAATTTCACTCTTTCTGTTGGTGTTTTGGTTTTATTTACATACCAATCAACGGATTGAGACAATCCATTTTCTTCATACAACTCTCTAAGATATGAAATTTGTTCATCCGTGAGAGTATTTTAATATCTTTTTCGGTGTTTTTTAGTGTCTTCTTCCATTCGAGAAGATAATTGAGGATGATAATTGATTTGTTGTTCTAAAAGTGTACTTTCAGTAACCGGAGAAACGTTTGGGGGAGTGTTTGGAGGTTTACATAAAGGTCCTATAAAAGGTTGTTTGAACAATGCAATTTCAGACTTAGGCACATATTCAATAGAGTCACTCATATTGATTATAAAGTTTAAACATGTGTTTATGTATTCATTTATTTTGTTAATATATTTAGAAGTTATAACATTTGCCAATTATTCAAGTTATAATTTTCATGTTTTTGTTAATTTTATTTGAAACAAAAAATGTCAATTTTGAAACAATTTTAGTTTAAATTTGTACAAAAAGAATTTTATTTGAAACAATAATAATTAATTATGAGACATTTGAAAAAAAGGTACATTTTTGTTTTTTGTGAAACACTTTAAATTTATTTTGATAATATTTTTATTTTATTTGGTACAATCATATTTATTTGTTGAACATTTTTAAATTAATTTGAAACTAACTGTAATTTAATTTAATTTAATTTAATTTAATTAGATTTAACTTTTTGTTTTTAATTTTGTTATTGTTAAAAAATAGAGTTTCACCTTTGTTGTAAATAAAAAAAAAGAAATATAAAGTCACACACTTATTTGGAATGATTGACATTTAAATTATTGATTTGTTTTTGTTTTCAAAAGCCAAAAGAATGAAGTTAAGAACAAATGATTCTGAAGTAATTAAGGTCTCTGCATCAAAGCAAGTAGAATAAATATATGTTGTTCATTTAGTGCATTCCGTTTTTATTGGGGTAGAACATAGTTTAGTGCATTTAGCATCGTTACAAACAATAAGAAACAATTTCTTAACACTGGAATCTTCTTGGAAAATAGCCTTTTTATTTCGCCGGCAAATTTATAGCAGACATCATTGTTATACATACCAGTCATTTGTTTTTTTTTTCGGGTATCCAATACTTGAAAATAATACTGAATGAATGAACTGTCCAAACATTTCCTTTAATATTATTGAAACTTTTTTAAAACAAATATTATAACAACAATATACATACACACTTATAGTAATGTATAATTTCAACCATTTTAATACAAAATTGTTAAGTTTAAATAAAAGTAAAGATAGTAGAAAAATAGGGTGTCAGGAATAAATAGGGTGTCAAATAAATTAGGGATTAGTTAATGTAAAAAAATGGGTTTCGTTTTTTTTATTTTTCCCCCCCCCCAAAAAAAATATGAAAAACCATTAAATAACTCAAAATCTATCTGACACCCAATTTATTCTTGACACACATATTTTCTACTATTT